ATATCCAAAGACCTTGCTCGAGATTTGATCCTGAACGGATGGGATGAAGAGCCCATCGGTGGGATTGACTCGGGATCTGACATCTCAGATGTGGAGGATCCAGATTCTGGTCCTCCAGACAGACGGACACACTAACAATCATTTTTGAAGATTTTTGATGTTACTTCTTGTGAAAAAATGTAATAAAAAGTTATAAATAAGCATGTTAAATGTAAAATCAGTCTTTTGTTGACCCAAATCTAATAAATATAATCACCTTTAACCAAAATTAAAATTATGTTTTTTAATTCATTGCAAAAACACATTGATTCTAATTGGGGTCATTTTTGACCCCACTCATGGGAGAGTGTAGATATTGGATGTTCATGCATCTAAGGGTTAAAAAAAAAAAAAAAAAAGGGAAACCTACTTAATGGTTTGGCGTGCACACAAGCAACATGATACCGCGCTCATTTCCAGCGCGTTCTACGTATNTCATTTAATTTAAGTTAAAACATCTTTGCAGACAATTTTTGCTTGATATAAGTTTGTACTTTGGTTTTAATTAGTTTATTCAAATGAACCATCACATAAGAGACGTCTAACCTGGCCATGGTGACCACGTTGTTAAGTCTTTTACCTCCTCTAACTTGGTTTTGAGTCTTCGGAGGTCTTACTGACACAGAGGCTGTGGAAGTCAGATCAGAAAGAGATGACCACATAAGCGGCTGTTGCTATGAAGCAAATCACCTTCAGAGAATCAAGTTTGGTGAACAGCAGAGACGAAATATGAGGGTTGAAGGAGCAGTGTGCATACAACACATGTTTCTTTCTTGTTTTATAGGAAACGCCAACCAACAGGCTGATTGATTTTTCTATCTACAACCTTTACAGCCTCTGCACCATTTATAAGACAAGGCTGTCCCACTCTGTGAGGCCAAGTATCACCCACAATACATGAGCAAACAGGAAGGCACATGCAAGTAAACACAAATGAATGCACACATATATACATATGTGCACAGTGTTTTCACACACAGCCAATATTTTAAAAAGGCAAATCTACACTCATCTGTTGATTTTCACCCTCTCTCAGAGATCTGCTGATTTCAATCCCTCCTTCAGTTTTATTGCTTCAGCAGCAGTTTCTCTTTTGATTGGGAAACTGCATCAGACCACTGAGAACCACAACTAATCAGTGATACCAGGGCCAATGTGGTCTTTGTACAGAGCAAACATGGCCGATTTATTGGAAAAGTGACATTTAAGGGTACTTTTAATGTTGTATCTGGAACCGGATTTGAGCTGAAGTGCATTTTTACCATATACTGCAGTATGTTGCCATACATTTAAGTGAATGGGAACAAGAAAAATAAATTCATCCAGTCATTATAGCAAGACATTGTTTTTGTGAAGGCTAAATTTGAAATAAATCCCTTTAATAAATGTTTTTAAAACATGGAATTAACAGCATTGTTGGTTAATTCATTCATTCATTCATTCATTTTAACAGCATTGAATATTGTTCACAGTATTAGTACAAACACGAGCTGAACTCCATGCAGACAACCTGCCAGGGTTATACATTCACTGCAGTTCAGCAACCACATCTCTTAAGAGAAGAATTTAGACATAACAGTGGAAGAATATTCACAGCTTATACCCATCGATTGGCTATAATGTTTATTCATTGTATGTATTAGCTTTTCGACCCTGATTGCTCACTGGGAGCACTGGCCAGGGTCAAAAATGCTAAACTGAATGTTTAAATAACAGTAAAAAATGTGGGGCAGTTACAGTTTCATGCAGTTGATTGTATGTACATGTACACAAATCAAGTTTTTTGGAGTGCACGTGAGCAGTGAGTGTAGAGAGCAGGAGAAAGACAGAAGAAGAAAAAGAGACAAAGTGGAACAGAGTCAATCAGTAGTGCAGATAAATATGTTCACAAGGAAGGTTTGTGGAAACATTTCTTGTAGCATGTGTAGTAGTAAAAGTGGGAGATTCCATAAGCTATAAACAATTTGAACTAAGTAAGTTGTTTTTATCCGGGTCAAAGTTTTAAACAGTGCAGTGCTTACTTACTAGATTAGTTAGCTAAGTAGCTTCAGACAAGATACTTGAAATTTGTTTGACAACCTAAAGAAAATGATGTTTTTGTGAAAGCCGGGATGAGGAGGCAGCCAGAATTCAGTACAAACTCGGTAGATAGCATCTGCTGTGCACGTTAACACAACAAGCATACAGTTCTGTGCTGCAGAGGTGTCGTCCCCGGCACCCCCTCCCACAACCGATCAGCTCCAAAATGAATCATCTGGAGATACCCTCCCAAATAACATAAACACCAAGTTTGGTGAAAGTCTGTCCATGTGTTGTTGAATAAAATGTTGAATGAATCACAGACCCTCAAGCACATGTTTGAGATCTGACTTGGGTGCAGGAACAGATAAGGCTGTGAATCCGCAGGCAACATATTTTACACAAATGAGTGGTGTTTAAAGGGATAGATCACCAAAAATGAAAATTCACTCATCATCTACTCGCCACTCGGCAGATGGAGGGGTGGGGGAAGTCATCCTCCATACTGCTCCTGTGGTGTCATCCACAGCAGTTAGCTCTGACATTTAAATTCAACTCGAAACAGCATAATTTACACCATGTTAACCAAGGTAGGGCGTTTTTGGTATTTCTTTGAAAATATTTCATGTGTGTTGACAGTAAAAAAACAGGAATTATTAAAGCGCTGATATTTAGGAGTGTAAATCCAGATTTTGTGGATTTCAATGTGGTTCCATAAGGGGACTGTTGGGCCTTGGCAGAGGTTTGTACTGTTCCATTCTAGTTACACATATGACCATCTAGCTCATGTCTAGTTATGTGTGCAGATGAAAATTACTTTAAAAAAAAGGTATGTAATGGCTGAAACACTCTGTATCCCCCTAATGGAAGGTATCACCTTGTAGTTTTGAACTGTCACCTCTATTTTATTCCTGCAATCATGGATTTAAATGAAAATGAGTTAATTCCCTTTGTACACAAACAAATAACAGTGTGTTGTGTAAATGCTGAGATTTTCTTTTGAGTTTCTGTTCAAAAAGTAATATATTTTTGATTCATAACAAAATATAATATTTGATTACTTTGTGAGTATTTTAACTTTACTTGGCACGTTTTGGACACAGTGGGAGATCTTACACACTTGATTCTTTATTGTATTAGATAGACAAACATGAAGTAGGCTCTTTATTAACTAGTTTCATGTTTTCTTTGTATTGTTAAAGTGGCAGTCGATGTACTGTACATCGAGGGTGGTTACCTACTGCTCTGATGTCAACAATTAAAAGAAAAAAACATTACAAAGACAAATTAATGCNTTAAATATCTGTCACATATCAGGATCATTTTACAATGGGTGATGACACACATGTAAATTTAAAGGGACATTCTTCCCCTTTCCTTCTCAGAAGTAAGCACAATTTATACCATGTTATGAATGCATAGACTCGTAGATTCATTCCATCTATCTTTTTAATAAATGTATTTTTAGCAACATGATACAATGACAGAAACCCTGCTAGAAACACACTGATGTGCAGTCCTGTGCCTAGCCTCTAGTGTTCTGTCTGAACAAGGCATTTAATGTAATCTTGAATGAAATGTAAACAACTATAAACTCTACTATCCTTACCCTGCATGTGTGTCAGTGAATGCTACTTAAAACTTTACAGTTGTGAAAGAAAATAAATAAAAGCAGTAGTCTGTCGTGTTAGAGCAGAGAAAAAAATGAACATTACAGGCTTCACTCTGTGTAATTGTGCCCTTACAGTCACTTCAAGATCTTCTCCTGTGTGTTGTTTTTTCACGGCTTAACTCCCCCAAGAATTACAAATACATGTGATACTTGTTGCATTGTCTTCGTGCCAGTGGAGGGCCAACATTGGAACATCACAAGGGTCTATAAACAACAATACCTGTAGTGTGAAGTGTCAAACGCAAAAAATTAAAAATCTTAGCAGGTGTTTGATTTACAATAAAGTGCAGACATTTTCTAACAGCTGAAGAGCTGAACATATTTGCTTCTGAAAAAAATCATAACCATAATTGTCTCCTCAGTCATGTGTTTTAGCTGCCTAATGTTTATCATTGTTTTTGTTCCACAACCTATATTGTACTGTTGCTGCCATGCACATATACTGTAGAAAATAATGATCTTAAAATATCGAAAACAGGTTTGTTGTAATGGTGTGAAAGCAGGACGTTTTAATGCACAACTAACTTATGTTACAAGTTAGAATAACTGTCCACAAAGCTGAGAGCAGACATCAAGCCTCCATCCTCAAAGCATAACATAGTGGAGTGGAGCAGGGGGAGCAGCTGCTGTAACGATGCAATGGAATCCTTCCAACTGGCTTGAATGAGATATTCCATCTTCCAGAGAGAAGAATACTATATATATATATATCTTAATATTAAAACGTCACTAACCCTTGTGTTTCAATGGTCATGAGGAGCTCACTTTTGTATTTTTATACAAACTGGATTTAAGCAGTACAGTGATATTAAAGTGTCCTTATCTGTGTTCAGACTGAATTCAAAGTAGTTAAGAGTGGTCATCGAAATAAATAGATATCACATCCATGCCCTAACCCAGGTTTTTAAGGCTAAACGAAAGAGAAGAGACCAGGAAATAACTAATTTGAGAAAACCAAAGTTCCTGTTGAGAGTCTGATCTGTCAGGTAAACATAAGTTCAGGTTGTAGATTGGTTCAAAAGGATGAATAAAAAAACGAAACAAATAAAAACAAGATAAGACAAACCTGTGCTTAAGATTCCATTCAAACGCATCTTTGTGTTGTTCAAGTGAAATACAAAATGCCATGTTAGCTCAGGCAAAATAGTGAAGTATGTGTCACGCTGACAAACTGAACTCATCTCCATTACACTGTTTATTTTGTCATCTAATAAAGCTTCACCTCTATTTGCCAGTGCCATGCAATTTTGTTTTCCTGTTAAAACCTTTGACTGGTGTGTTTCCACTCCCTGCTTGTGAATTGTGTTTGTTACATATGAGCGCATGGAGGTCTTTGGTCTGTTACAACAAGAAAGCTGCTCCCTGTACAGTAGATAGCATTCAGTAAAGTCACAGTGAGGGTGCTGCCAATTTTTCAGCAGCTTATTTGACAGCAGTTTGACGACCTTGTTTCAGTCTGAAATTACATGATCTCCTCTCTCCCCTCCAAACCAGCAGGCTCCATGTTGGCCTTGGAGCTGCGGGGCTGGCTCAGTCCCAGTGCCTCCCCTCTGGCTTTAAGGAATTGTTCTGGTCCCCAGTGCAGACAAAGAGGGCAGGGACATGAAGCTGGATGGTGCACGATGCTGGCGGAGGGGTAGAGGGCTGCGGCCGTCTGAGGCAGCCCCCTCGGCCTGTTGTGGTACTGGGAGAGGCGGAGTGCATCCAGGGACCTCATGGGTGCGCTGTAGGAACTGTGAGCCGAGGAGGCTGGTGAGGAGAGAGCCAGCGGGGAGTAGTGGTGGAGGGGCAGGTGGGGCAGGTGGTGCGGGATGAAGGGGTACGGTAACGTGGTGGCAGGAGAGGAGCGGCTCATGAAGAGGGCACCCAGAGGGTCGACGAGAGGGAGAGGCCAAGGCAAGGAGTGTCTCTGGCGTTTATCCTTCATCCTCCTGTTCTGAAACCACACCTGGAGAGAGGGAAGGACAGAGTGAAGGGGTGAGGAAATTAATGAAAGAAGGAGACTGTGGTGTATCGTTTGTGTCAGGGAGGATGGATGGGTGCATTGAACTTCCCTTTAGTGTTCTGTTACCTCAAGCTCTATTGTCCTCACCCACTGCATCCCTCACAAATGGCCTGTGAATACATGTGTACTTAAAATACATTTTGTGTGATCAGTTTAAAGTTTCAGTGTGTAAGATTTAGGTGAAAGGGATCTATGGGCAGAAATAAAATATGAAATAATCCTCATGATGTTTTAACTAATGTGCATTATTTAAATTGAACAAATGTTTGTGTTCTTTACCCTAGAAAAGGCCCTTTATATCTTAACACTTTATATTTACATGGAGGGGGTCCTCTCTACGGAGGCCTCCATGTTTTTAACAGTAGTCCAGACTGGACAAACTAAACACCTTTTGAGTTTTTATGACAACTGAAGCTGCCACAGGTTCTCTGTCATGTTTGGAAGTGGAGGGTGAGTAGAGGGGTGTTCAACTGCAACATGCAGCTTCACCACTAGATGTCACTAAATTCTACACACTGTACCTTTAAAGGCAGATGGCACTTGACAAAAGAGTAAACGTATAATTGTGGACTGTTTCAAAGCACTGAGGTCAGGTCATTGGTGATGACATATTTCAATACCATGTGTTAATGTAATCAGGTCAAAATGATATATAGTTACAATCTGTGTAAGAAATACATTTAATACTAGGTGTAGAGTTCAAGTTCAAAGTGACTTTATCATCCCAGATGAAAAACTTGGCTCACAGTCAGGTGTGACACACAAAGTGAAAAGAACAGCATGGACACACACGAAAGTATTTAAATGATCCATGAAATGTCACGTGAAAAGTCAGAAATGTTAAATGTAAAAAAGAACTAAAACTGAATTTAAAATTACATGTGCAAGTTCAGGAAATGTATTGTACAGGGAACCAAATAGTATTTACTCCTATTGCACCTAGAGCGGGGTACTCATCTCAAACCTGAGGGAATAATTTCAAACTCACAGTGGAGGGGGTGGTTCTTGCAATCCACTATAGACCTGGCCCTATAGAGGAGCCGCTAGTCAAAGATTGCTGTCAGGGGGGTCTTTGACAGACCTATCACCTTACCTGCCACCTTCACAATACAATTTACAGGTTTACTGTGTACGATTTAGATGAAAGGGAGCTATCGGGCATGTCATCTCAGGCCTAGACTCCTGCAACTCCCTCCTGGCTGGTCTGCCTGCTAATGCCATCTGACCTCTGCTGCTCATCCAGAATGGCACAGCTCGACTGGTCTTCAACCAACCTAAGTTCTCTCACACTGCTCCTCTGCTCCCTTCACTGGTTACCAGTGGCTGCCTGCATCAGCTTCAAGACGTTTATTTGCACATATGTTGCACTTACATGTAGCACTTGTGGTTTGGCTTTTTTGAAGACTAATTGTAGTTACATGATTCTTGCTGTTCTGTGTTTGAACCCTCATGGTTAAATGCACTTATTGGAAGTCACTTTGGATAAAAGCTTCAGCTAAATGATGTTTTTACTAGTGTATTTTATCTAAATTGTACAAATTGTTGCTTTCTTTACCCTATGGGCCCTTTAAACTTAGATACTTTATATTTACATTGGGAGGGGGTCCTCTCTCTGCAGGCTGCCATGTTTTTTACAGTAGTTCAAACTGGACAAACTAAACACCTTTGACTGTTTATGACAACTGAAGCTAACACAGGTTCTCTCATGTTTGGAAGGGGAGGGTGAGGTCAGAGGTATTCAGTTGTAACAGACAGCTTTACCCAATGATGTCACAAAATTCTACACACTGAACCTTTAAGGCATTACTTTCTCTAGTAAGCTAATGTCCATACCTTGCAACAATAGAGAGAAAAGAACAGATTGAAAGGACTTGTAGAACAGGAAATAATTTTTCCTTCTACATTAAAAAACATTTCACTTCCTCAGGAAGTACAAAGGTTGGTTTCCCTTCTTTCAAACTGTCTAAGCATTAACATCAAATTCCAGTTTGTTGTCAATGACTGTTTCAAGATACCTATAGGCTGCTGTTCCACAAATTCAATGCCAATACCATTAATCAAGGTCAGCGATGGACGCATGGTCAGTGTCAGCTCTTATCCCCACAAACTCTCCGGACAATCTTCCTCTGTGTCTTCTGGGAGTGTGGCTCCGCTTTTTCACCCGGAGATATTTCTTTTCTTTTTGTTTGTTTCATTTTTGTATCTGTCTTGTGTTGAAAGCTTCGCCAACCACCCCGCTCGCTTGCGGTGAATCCAGTGATCTGAGTTCTCACATGCACCTCCTCCGGATAAAAAAGGAAGTGTCTGAGGAGTTCTGTCTGATATGACAAAGTTATAGGGATACTTTACTGGACCAACTTTCCAACACACACAATCTATATGCCTCTAGCGTGGATATAAATGTATCAATAAATGTACATCAGGTCTGGACTGCAGACAAAATAAATATTGCAATTGCATTTACTCTGCAGCAGACTACACTTCATTTAGATGACCTGTTTTCCTGTGCTGCAGCACTGACATCCTTCTTAACACAGGCTGACAAGTTGTCTGTGTGTCTATCTAGTCTTCAACTGTTTTACCAGTTCACGCGATCTCCCGGAAGGCTGCACTTCTAAAACGTCAGGTGGCAGCGTTTACAAGACCTCGCCTCGCATTCCTGATCTTTCATAAAAGACCCTCCAGTAGCAGCCAGAAAGGTGGGTGCGTTTACTGCATATTAAAGCTGCAGCGTGGGGTCAGTGTGCCTCTGTATCAAATGTTAGATGCTGCTAAACCTGTCACTGCTCAATCTTCTGCGCTGATTTGAAATGACAAATAAGAGGAGAGGAGATGAAAAATGCACAATCATGGGAAATTTCAGAGGGGCGTTGTCATTTAGGTGAGAAGCTGTCTCAGGATTGTTTTGTTTTCTGCTTTGACCTACCTAGTTTGGTTCTTAATGTTTTAACTTTGTCCAAAACATATGCATTAAAAATAAAATGATAAAGGAGTTGTAATATTGAGTAAAGATGTTGGAGTTAGAGCTGAAGGGCAAATAGCTTAGCTTAGCACACAGACTAAAATCAGGAGGTAACAGTTAGACTGGCTTTAACCAAAGGTCAAAAATACACATTGATTGCTCAATGATTAACATTTTGTATCATGTTAAATCCCTAAAAGTTTCAATTGGCCACTACAGAGAAATGGTTGACCAAGAAAAAATTCCCGGAATAAAACGTCACCTAAAGCCGAATTTTTTTTCTTTTAGTCGTATCTATTTGGACAAACTAGACAAACCACACTGCAGAGACAGTTCAACATCTATAATAATGGATATTAAATAATAATAATAAGTAAAATACAAGTTGCTTTATAAACTTAAAACTTAAGTGTAACTAAAGTTATATTCACTGTCGATTGCTTTTGGATATGGTGTGCCGTATGTATGAAGCTGCGTAATATGTGGACCACTAAGGTTCATACACATTCATTTCCTCAGGGATAAGAAAATGTAAATGTACTCATGTCTGCAGATTTTTATCTTATCTTAGCACAATGACGAGTATTGGGGGAAACACCTCACTGTCACTTTGATACTTGGCTATGACTGGTTGGTTGCAACCAAGTTATGGCTGACAGACACAGAGACCCCCAACCCTAAACTGTTGGTGATAACAACACAAATAACAGCTAGAGTTCCCTGTATGCCAGTTGCCAATGCAGCCTTGTGCTCGCTGATGTAATCTAAACCGCTTAATACCTCAACTGCCCCTGGAGGTCCCCACACCTGACTTTGAGCACCAGCACTAGCAGGTGATATTTAAGATACTAATACTAGTATCTACTAGTATTATAATACTTATACTTACACAATACTTACTGCTCCCCTTAAAACGTCTGTAACTTCTCAATGTTTGAACATTCATTTGCCTTTCATTTATTATGAAATGTAAGAATGACCCTCAAATTGTTTAATTTTCATGAATCCATTGTTTTACCTGTGTTAGTTTTGATCAAGCTGGTTTTGAAAGATCATATATATTGTAAATGCCAAATATCAACATGTTTCTGAACAATGCAAGGATTTCATTAGTTCTGCTTCCTTCTCACAATGAGAATATGAGTGTTGTTACCTTCTGCAAAACATCATATTCAAACAACCATAACTTTCATAAAACAAAAGAAATTGGTGAAAGATAAATTGAGAGAGTTTTCATATTATTATAACTTTGCAGTATGCAGCCACAGTGGCTTTTTAAAGGGCAACACATTCATAGCAGTGAAGGCCAGATATTGTATGTGTTGTCAGCAGCAAGTGTGTTGGTTCAATGGTTAAACTCACACTCTGACTTGAGTGATCCGTACCTTTATCGTTGTCTCCGGTAAGTTGAGAGCCGTGGCCAGCTCGCAGCGTCGCGGCCTGGACACGTAGCTCTCCCTGCGGTACTCCTGCTCCAGCCGGGACAGCTGCTCCCGCGTGAACGCGGTCCGGTGCCGCCGGCTCTGGTCGAGCAGGACGCTGCGCGGGCACGGCTCCTGCTGCTCGTTCCCGGCGACAGCCGCCAATGGCGTCTGTCTGCCCTCTGCCACTGATAACACAAATGTATTATTATTATTATGATTATTATTGTGATTATTATTGTGAAATACAGTGTGGTGTAAAATAGGATATATTCCCTGTACTGTTCCTCTGGACTCAACATTGTCATCATGTTACTTTATGACTTTTTTTTATTTTATGAGAAAAGCTATTAACTTCATTCTGAACTTGTGACAAGTTTCAGATGCTCTGATCTGTGTTGAGGTTTCTATCCTCCTACCACACTCCTACCTGGTTTGATAATAAACTGTTTTTTTAGTGACATAAAATAACCAGGACGAAATGCGTGTTTTTTGTCCGTGGACAAAATAATCTAGTTTTCGTTTGTACCAACTATACAGTGGAATTTAACAACAATTTATGGGGATATTGGTATTTTATCATCAAACGTCCAATCAGTGACAGCGGGAAGAGTTGGATATAAGGTCATGATCTGGTCCGATGTAAAGAAAAAATAAATTTAAATAAAAAAACTGTTATATAATTATAATTTCTTTCTGTTGGACAAAGAGAAAGTAAAGCTAATAGTGTATCAACCGTTGTAATCGTTATTCTTTGATCCGTTTTGTTGTATTTTACTGCACTTCGAAATATGAAGTGAATCTTCTGTGATTTGCTAATTTTGCACTTACATCTTAGTTTGTGAAGCACCTTGTAGCCTGACTCTTGCCATGACTTTTTAAATTGTATTACATAAATAAAGTTTGTCATTATCAAATATTCACATATTCCTCACGGGTGTTGGGCATTTGGAAAAGGCTGTGTCATTTCACATCAAAAAATTATAGTTTTCAGCGACCACAAGGTTTGCAGCAATTTCATTTACTTACACATCAGGTTGTTTCTCTTTTCGATGAGTAAAAAAGATGAAAGAAACAAACAAGAGAAAAAAAAATCCCCTCCTTGTTGTCTCCGGTGTTCCTCTCGGCTCGTGTCCCCTCCACAGGCCCACAACTTCAGACTGACTAAACCCTGTCTCCTTCACTTGTTTCTGGTCTGATCACACAGTCGGGGAGAAGATGAGGTGTTTCTTTAACCCCCCCCCCCCCCCACCAACACACACACACCCTTCACTCCCCCGCGTCTGTCTGTGCGCTCCGCGGGGCCGCTCCTCTCTCCTCTCTCTGTCCCTATCACCGTGCGCTCCAGACGGGCCGTGGGTTGCGCGTCGGGCCGGCGCGGCGCCGCGGCCCACAGAGGTGTTAAATGTGTTTAGGGCTGAAGCCTTTGGTCTGCGTCTCGGCCTTTGTACTTTTGTTATGGAAGAATTAAAGACGCGCAGGCAGAGACAGCGGCCAGACCCGCATTGTCCTCCGCTGTTTGATGTTGGCAGGTTTGGAAGTGAATCATTACAGGTCTAATGGCTCCAAATTGGCTGAGATGGATCCCGGTGGAGAGGACATATTCATTGGGATGATATTCTGGACACAGCTGAATGTTTTAATCTTTTTTTTCAGTCTTGTGATGGCTATAGCCTACAGATTGTTATGAGTGTCGCTGATGTCATTATTCTTATTCCGATATGTCCTGTATATTTCTTTCAGTATTCGACTAAACATTTCGGAACAAAACTTGAACTAAGAAATTCTGTTCAGGAACAAATTGGGTTAGATTATGAGTTTTGATGAATCACATGAACTGAGCTCTGGTGACAGCGGGGTATGGATGAGAACGCGCGCCTGTGAGCTGACCCTTGAACCTGTGATTTTGGGGCTTTTATTATGGCTATAATCTGTTCTGATTGTTGATCCAGCGGCCAGGTGATGATAAGGAGGACAGGCCGGGGACAGGCAGACAGACAGACGCCAGGTAGGGTGGAGTCACATATCACATGCTAGGAAATTAATCATTATGTATATATAAAAAAATAACACCCGTGCAGGAGCTAGAATCACTTTCAGAGTAAATTCCTGTTCGGACTTCTGGAGAGAATAATCATATTTGTGAAGAAATAAACATTCATCTCTTTACTGACTTGCTCTGTGGAAGAAGTGCTGGTATCTTTTCATTAAGTAAAGTATTGAACTAATATACTCTGTTTCAAGTATAGGTCATGTATTAACATGAAAAGTTCATTTTTCAAAATGTAGTATAAAAGTATCAGCAAAAGTATTAGCATGACTCACCTACAGTATACACAGTTCAGATAACTTCAATGATGCAGCATCTGAAGGCGGGGCTTATTTTCTACAATGCTGGTTTATGAATTTCCTCAATGGTTCAGTCAAGTTCTATGTATACATTTACTATAATGCCAATTGTTTGTTGATTATATTTTACATTATTATCAGAGAGTAACTTAAAGTTATCCATTATGTCACGGAGTAAATAGTGGCATATTCCACTGCAATGTAGAAGTATGAAATGTTAACATGTTAACATGAAATGAATAAACAAAAGTACCTCAAATTGTAATGAAGTGGTGCATGTGGTATCAGATGAGTGGCTTTACTCCCTCAAAGACTTGTGTATGTGTTTTATGTGTGAAGACAATCATCATATTAAACTGCAATTTGTTTATTTCAGTTTTTTTTTTTTACCTTTATATAACACATTCAAATGCACATTGCAACAGATTGGACTTGCATACACCAAAGGCATGGACTGCATTCATAACACACTTTTCTAGTGGTAATAAACAATCCAACGTGTTTTACACTGTAACTCTATTAATATCATGTACACACACACACAGACACACACACACAGACCGCTCTCTCTCTCTCTGTTAGAGACTCTCATCCACACCTTAAATCTCTCCTTGAATATGGAAAGGTCTTCTCCTTGGGATGGTCAAAGAAACTTCATAATTTCATTACAGCAGCAAAGAGTCTCATGGTTTGGGGGCTCTAAAACTATAGTATAGTGTTAAAACCAGACGTAAATGTAGCAAAAGTTATATGTTATAAAACTAAACGATAAAGTGTGGACAAGCTACCAAAGATATATCAGTTTGGATGATGTGTAAAAAGGGGATCCAGGATGTTTTCAATTGATGGAATTCTGCAGCCATAAAACATGAGACCTTGTGTTAAAGTATTTTTACTCCACAAGCTGAATCAGTATATTTTGATAATGTTGGACAGTGTGGAATAAGATGAGACTAAAAGAGACTTAAATAAAATGAGAGCTGTTCTTTATTATAAAACAAAAGAGGACATGTCCAAACTGATTTTTGTTTTTGGGATAAAGCTGGGTGACTTGTGCTTTGAGTAAGAGAAAGTCTCTGCCTCGTCCTCATGGACTCTAACGACTGTGACTTCACTCCCAGTCCAGTAGCTTGCTTTCTGTCCTTTTGATAAATGCAAAGTTGTTCTTTCTTCTTCTCTTTGTGGTAAACCCAAAGTGAAAATGGCTTTCACATGTTTCTGAGTACTGGTGGTTAGAGAAAAGCTCTGACCTCAGTTTGAGGTCATGGGAATAATGGTTGGGAGGCTGTCATTTAGAAGGATGACATGTCCTGTTTTGTGTGGCTGATCAAACTCTTCTTCAACATGTTCATATTTGAGGAACATCGCACATGTTGCATTACTTCTCGATGCGACATGTGTTAAACACGTGCAGCTGGGTTGCACATGTTACTATACTGTTTGAGAACTTACAGAAAATATGTGTGCTGTCCCCAAGTACACCCACATACTGAACGTATTAAAAGTCAAACAGCCAAGCTGGGTTTGTGCAACATGTGCTAACATCTCCATCTAAAATTCAGGTCTTGTGTATTTTGATTGTGATGGTGGCCTGTAGCAGTAATGCCTCAGTGCAGTGGAATTAATGGTTTGCATCCCACGCTGGCTGGGGTCATTCGAAAACTCATTGGTTCTTAGATTTCTTCAAGCTGATGGGTAACAGTCCCATATGATATTTTCTTTACAAGGCCTGTTCTAAAGCTTATCTCATGTACAATATATGAAGACAAGCCGGCCGACCTAACTGTACACACTGTGTTGACATCTTGTCCATACGTGAGAACAATCAGTCAGATCTAACTGGATTTTGGGAGGAGGTTGTTGTCGATTAGCTTTTCATCCATGTTTTTGGCCTCCAGGATGTTCCTCCTGAAAGGAAGCCTGATTAAAAACATTGACTATATCCTTGAGCCTTGAAATACTTCAGTGGTCAGAATGCTTCTGGAAAGCCAGTTGCCTCCATCTTCTGTTCAAAATAGACAGTTCGGTCTGTTCTGTGTTGCTAAGCTGATGGATCAGTCCCATCAACACATTACATTCCTATCAGTTAGCTGACGCTTTTATCCAAAGTGACTTCCCATTAGTGCATTCAACATCTGAGGGGCCATTCGGGGTTCAGCATCTTGCCCAAGGACTCTCCGGCATGGGCTGAGATTCGAGCCGCAGACCATCTGGTTGGAGGACAACTGCTCTACCCCCCTCAGCCGCAGCTGCCCACTGGTTCATGCCCACCGTTGCTGCAAACAGGTCATTCTCTGCAAAGATCTCTACAGAAATACCCTCCATGAAAAAAAACGCACGAAGCCAGAAGCGATGCTCCTGTATAGGAACAAGCCGATAACCTTTCTGTTTGTGTTTCCTCTTCTTCTGTGTGGTTGTATTTTTCTCAGCTGCGACCCCAAGCGTTTTGTTGATGTCACACAGTTGATACACGCAATGATCAATTCGTTAAGCAAACATTGCAACATCAGTCTAAAGTCATGTTAATGGCTCTGTGAGGCTCTGTGAAAACACAGTGGTGCTCTGAAAATAAAGCCAACTCAAAAAAGTTGAGTTTGAGAGCTTGAGAACTGCCTGTCGAAAACTGACAAAGATTTCATTGGACTTTTATTTGCTACTCATGAATTAGGACTTCAGAGGGAACTATTAGACCACAGCAGATTAGCAAAGGCCAATACACGAGGTAGCTGATGTGGAGCGGGCTACTACAACAATAGTAAAAGTTAGATTCAAGGATTAAAGGTCAAAAATGAGTGACACAACATCCAGCTTTGAATCCAAAAGTTTAGTCAGCCATCATATGAATATGACATTTCTTAATTTAGTTAAAATACAGATTGGATTACATTTTTCTTACAGTTCTGTTTGGATTTGATGTTGAACTTTATATCCTGCGTTTAAAACAAAAGGTGGAAAGTGGCCTCACTTGGGGCGGTTAGGGACACACAGCAATGTGTTGCTCATTGACTGTGATCATCCAGATTTCATCCAGATCACATTCCCAGCAGCTGTTATTTTTACCCTCTTGTTTTAAAAGCCATTGGCGTATGCCCCAAATTATTATAAGTTAGTAATTAACTGACTACAGTGGCAGGTGCTTTGCTACACATCCTGTATGTTCAAGAGGAGCAGATCACACCCGCTGTGAACCATGGATTGATGTGGGTCTTATAAGTAACACATTTATTCCAGAGGCAAGAATAACGTCCCACTCAGACACCTATTGTGCAAATATTTCTCTAAGAAGAATAAATAACTTTGTTTGTGACCCTGCATACAAATGAAATTTTCTTGTTTCCTTTGATTTCAGCCACCAGGACTTTTTAAAAATATAATGCTTTCCATTGGTTGCCGTAAAACTCTGCCAAACTCTGTTACCCCAAAGGATTGGTAGTTTTGATCAAATGATCAAAGTACACATTTGTATCTGTAAAACATATGGCTATTGAATTTGTTTTATCACCACACTCTGGCATTATACCATCCACACTTGTGGGAGTGCATACTGCAGTAATGACTTACTGAGCAACCCAGACTCTGTTCATGATTTTGCTTTTGTACTTTTGTGTCCACTTTCTATCAACTTTCCTAAATTATCAACAGTACAACAATAATTCTCACTGAATTTGACTTCAATGGTGACTTTCACATTGAAATTGGAACTAAGCACTAAGTCTTTTGGGCTACAAAGCACAGTGGAGGAGAAAAGATCCAAACATATCATATTTGAAAGTTGTCAAGATGATAACACATTGCAGCTGTTTTTATATTGTGTAACTTTGTTTG